CAATATGATTCATGGGGTCACGAAGAGTCGGACACGACTTAACGACTGAACAACAACAAATTTCAATCACCTGATCCTGTTTATATTAGTATTTAGTTGTCCACTGTAAGGCTGTATGTGGGAAGGCCAATTATCAGAGATGCCAGAGAAGCAATTTGCTGCATGAATGGAGGATTGGGCAAGATAACCTTTCCATGATTCTGTGAATTTCCTCCCTAAAGCTCTGACAGCCACATATTTGTTTGTTGATATTGTTAGATTTCTACATCCTCTTCCCTCAAGGCAGATAGCACTTTCTCCCACCTGGTTTTTCCCACATCGACCCCGTGAACCTGAGTCTCCTCAGTCCTCTTATTACATGTTAATCTCTGAGCCCTTTGTTAGCCTTCCTCAGGTCCTTTTCATTTCTTCCTGCCCTTTGCTGGATGATCACCGTCCCTTTTTACCTGTCCTTCAGACTCCAGAGAAGAACTGGGAATGTGTCTTCTCTGGAGACAATGCTTGTATAGTCTCTACAAGCTTGGTAAGCCCCAGGTCAAATATGCAAACTCCACATCTTCAGAAGAGGCTGGGGTGCATTTTTAAAACAGTTTGTGGCAAGGGGCTCTTCCTCAATGTAATTTACTACGTTAATCTTTTGTTTAAAAAAATATGAAGATAGAAATCTGACAAAGAACCCTCACAAAGTCACATGGAGAAGTTTATGGCTTTATTCCTTAAACTTGCACAAAAATGTATATATGCACACATGCACTTTGTTGTGACTCAAATTGTGCAATACAAAATTCTTCTACCAAAGGAGTAGAAGTGCCTCTTTTGCTAATTATGGTAAATCTTGTTCCAAGAAGCAGCTGGATAGAAACTGTGCCTTTGATTTTTCACTTCATTTCTAAGCTTTTTCTCCCTGTTGGGGAGCTAAAGGAATTGAGTTCAAGAGTTTGTTGGTTGACTCTTTAATGATGTCTCTGCCTTCTCTTGAACAACACAACAAATATTTAGGAGCACTAAATGTTGCCGTGTAACACATTGAGGGCAGAGGAGCAAACTCACATAACTGGATCCTCCATGTCAAATAATATTTTACACCAGAATACTTTATCTTCTTAACTGAAGCCTTCTGGTCTTATATTATCAACTACGTTCTGACCTTGTAGCCTTTTAAGTGGAAAACCAGCTAGATTTTCTATTATCGGTATACGGGTGATACCCAGCTCTACATCTCAACCCCAGGCTGTACAGATGAAGCTGTCAATCTACTAACCCAGTGTCATGAGACTGTTTGGGTCTAGATGTGGAGGAAGAGACCAGCTGAATACTGGCAAGACTGAATGGCTTTGGCTGTTTGACCCCCCTCCTTTTCATGACTGGTACGCAACATGGGGGTCCTCCTGGACTTGCAGCTACTGCTCAATGAGGAGGTGGCACCTGTGGCCAGGGTGGCCTTTGCACAGTTTATCTTGTGTACCAGTTGCATCCTTTCCTCAACAGGAAGCCCTTCAGATGGTCACTCACACCCTGGTCACCTCACAACTGGACTACTGCAATGTGCTATACATGGAGCTGTCCTTGAAGACCATTTGGAGGCCTCAGCTGGTTTAAAATGCAATGGCCTGAGCAGTAACAGGCATTTCTCATTATGGCCATGAGTCATCACTGCCATGTGAGCTGTACTATTGCTGGATGGCTTCCAGCTGCAATTGAAGGTGCTGGTCATTACCTATAAAGCCCTGCATGGCACAGGGCCTGATTATCTGAGGGATGCCTTACCTCCAATTGTTTCTGCCTGCCCAGTATGTTTGGGCAAGGTAGATGCCCTCCAGTTCCCCTCAGTTAAATGTAGTCACCTTGTAGGACCAAGGAAGTGTACCTTCTCTGTTGCTGCCCCTGCCCTCTGGTGATATATATGGCACCCACTCTCCTTAAAGGGGTTCTAGAAGACCCTTAAAACCTGGTTCTTTTCCCAGGCCTGGGGTTAGTGTGTCTGTGGAGGAGTTCTGGAAGGGCTTCTGGATAGGAAGGCCAGAAAAATAATGACAATGAATCGTGCCCTTCATCCACACAGCAACATTGACAGACTCTATTTACCAAGGAGCATAGGTGGGCATGGAATGTTGCAAGTGGACCAGACAGTTGAAGGAGAAAAAAGGGCATTGGAAGAATATCTGAAGGACAGTGAAGAAGATGCACTGAAGCTAGTACACCATAAAGGCTTACTGAATACTGAAGGGACCAAACTGGCCTAC